TAATTACACATAAGCAACGAAAATTGAAACATCAAATCAAGAATTAATTCCTAAAATTGTAAATCAAACACAAGGTCAATGCAGGTCAAAATATACAATAATACACAAAAACATAATGAATGCGGGAGAGAAAATATGGCGTAAGTTCAATAAAAAAGAAAACAGATTGGCGAAGCATTTACAATGGAGGTAGGCTGGCAGTAATGGTGAAGTGGTTAGTTAAACACTTGAGAGAAAAAGTGAGTTTTTAGGAGTGTGTTGAAAGAGACAATGTTATCAAGGGAGAGCAGATTAACAGGGAGTTCATTCCAGAGCCTGGGGGCCACAGAGGAGAAGGCACGGTCACCATGTCATGTGGATAGCCCCACCATGTGACCTTCTTTACGTCTCGTCTCTGCGGCTCTCATTCAGGATGGTAGGAAGTTCAATCCATTCAGATGGACGTGCAGCAGAATGTTCTTCCTGCTGCTGCATTGTGAAGTAAAGACCAGCCTGTTGATCTGAGTGGTGGGAACACAGAGTTGGTACTCACCCTGACAGGACACCAAGCACCAGGTTGAGCATGAAGAAGGAACCGATGATGATGAGGGGGATGAAGTAGAGCCAGTTCCACGTGTTTCCTGTGGCGTCATTGGCCTGAACACAAAGAAGAAAAAAAAACATTATTTCTGTTGTGTTTGTGAAAGTAGATGTGAGTCATCCATCCATTTTCTGTACACGCTTCTTCCTTTTCAGGGTCGCGTGGGTCACTGGTGCCCATTTCCAGCAGTCACAGTGCGAGGGGTGGGGTACACCCTGGACAGGTTGCAAGTCCATCACAGGGCCACACATAGAGACAAACGARACAAACAACCACTCACTCTCTCACTCTCACCTAGGGACAATTTAGAGTTATCAATTAACCTAACAGTCATGTTTTTGGTCTGTGGGAGGAAGCCGGAGTACCCGGAGAGAACCCACGCATGCACGGAGAGAACATGCAAACTCTACCCAGAAAGGTCCTCGGACCGGGATTTGAACCGGTGACCTTCTTGCTGAGAGGCATCAGCTCTACCAACCGAGCCACTGTGCCTGTGTGTGAGATGTGAGTCAGTGTGTGTATTTTCTTACAAAGCAATTATCCAAAACAGTGAGTCTGAAAAATAAACAAGTTTACCAAAAACAGGTCGTTTTTCGTATCCATTTTAAATGAATCTTTTAGTAAGTTAAAAGCTGAATGACCTAAGCTAAGCAGAACAGATGTTAAAATGAAAAACTAAAACAGTTAGAATGTTATCAGTTATCAGGTTAACCAAGAAGAAATGAGACAGAGACAGGTATACTAAGATGTATAACACAGGACAAAGAGGGAGGCAGCAGAGGTAAAACAAGAGGAGGATGAGTTGTACAGTAAGGACAGGCGGATGGATAAGACAGAGATCAGACTGGGAGGATGAGCAGCAGGTTAGACGTGTTAAAGATAGAAATAATGTTCTGACAGGAGAGGAGGGGGAAGAAGATGGAAGTACAGTGAGGAGTTAATGAATGAAGAGACTAGAGGAGAAAGACGATAAGGTGTGTCTTTCGGCAGGACAAACTGACACAAGCAGACCAGCACCACTCATCTATCAGAGTCGCAGTCAGACAGGACAGCTGTCTGTAAACCATCACAAACACACTGAGCTCAGCAGAGACACTTCTGCTCATTCAGTCGCAAATCAGATGTTTGTTTGTGTGAAAAAGTCTTTGAGCTTGACTGAACAAAGCCTTCTGTTGGCAGCAGATTAGCCAGGAATATGTTCTGTGACTGTCAGAGCTAAACTACTGAAGATGTTTGTGTTTACAAGGTTTAACACTCTCAGCTGTTTGATTCCAGGACAGATGGCAGCAGCTACACACAGACAAAACTCTACCAGAGATAAGTTAGAACTGAAACATGTCAGAACTTACACCGTCAGTAAGACATGATTACATTGATGCAAACAGAAGAGGAGTTGTGTTTGGACACATTTTGACAAACGGGTATGACTGAGCTTTAGGAAATAAATAAATCAGGTTCCACGCACACAGGATGTATCAAACCAACATCGTGTGAAGGTTTGTGTAAATCTACACACAGTTTTCACCTGCTGTGAGAACGTTTGGACAGCCATGCAAACTTTTTCAGTCGACGGTTTTAACCCACAAAGCTGCCTCAGTGTAGCTTAAAGTTTAAAGTTTAGTTTAAAACAAAGACAAGGAGGRAAAAAACCGCACATTTTCAACTACATTTCAGTGTTGGGCACAGTTTCCCTAAAGCACTAAAGCACTAATAGATTAGTGCTTTAGTGCTTTTGCTAATTTTAAAATGTATTAGTGGATTAGCACTTGTTAAATTTATAGGCTAAATTTAGAAGCACTAACTGAGGTCTATAAATGTTATTGATCAACATTAATGTTGACAGCTGAGGGTGAAAACTGTCACATTTTGTTCATATGTGTCACTGATCCACCAGGTGACAATACAGGTGCTGGTCATAAAATTAGAATATCATGAAAAAGTAGATTTATTTCAGTAATTCCATTTAAAAAGTGAAACTTGTATATTATATTCAT